GTCAGGATATTCTATTATTTGTTTTCTCAATGTCCTTTCTTTTGGTTCTTATGATCTCCATATAAATTCCATATGCTTCCCTTGTGTGTTTGCTTGACATTATTTGGTTTCTAGAATGCAGCACAACTGCTTCATCTGATGACAAACAAGAGTTTGAGGATGTGTCTGAGGAGGATGAGCCTTCTTTCCATGACACAAAGGAGTACTTCAATGAATCTAATGTCGGTTCGGGATCCAATCTATCTAATTCTTGTTACACAGATATCAAGAGAAGAACGAAACTTCCTGATCCAGCTGAAAAAGAGAAAGGTGTCAGTCTTTGGTCTATGATCAAAGACAACGTTGGAAAAGATCTCACCCGAGTTTGTCTCCCGGTGTATTTCAATGAACCAATATCATCCCTCCAAAAGTGCTTTGAAGACATGGAGTACTCTTATCTTCTGGACCGAGCATACGAATATGGAAAATCTGTAAGTGACAGCCAAAATCTGTTACTTTATTATATGACCCTGCAAGTTGATTATCTGATATTGACTATAGCATGTTGGATTATTAGGGGAACGGTCTCCTAAGAGCCTTGAATGTTGCTGCTTTCGCGGTCTCTGGATATGCTTCTACTGAAGGCCGGCACTGTAAGCCCTTTAACCCTTTGCTTGGAGAAACCTATGAAGCCGACTTTCCTGAAAAGGGAATTCGTTTCTTCTCCGAGAAGGTATTTCCTTCACATAAATGTTAACTCAAAAGCTAGAATGTGATGAACATAAATGTGATCATTCTTTTGGTATTGTACTTTTATAATAGGTCAGCCACCATCCAACTGTTATCGCCTGCCACTGTGAAGGTAAAGGGTGGAAGTTTTGGGGTGACACTAACCTCAGGTCAAAGTTTTGGGGGAGATCGATTCAAGTCGAACCTGTCGGGGTTTTGACTCTGGAGTTTGATGATGGAGAAGTATTTCAGTGGAGCAAGGTATATTAGTTATAAAGTACTACTTTCGAGTCACTTATGTGGATTTTAATTCTGGCCCTGAAGTAACTGTATCCATATCTTTGTTCTTAGGTCACATCAACTATATACAATATCATATTAGGTAAACTTTACTGTGATCATCATGGGGTGATGCAAATCCGTGGGAACCACCAATATTCTTGTACGCTTAAGTTTAAGGAGCAATCCATTCTTGAGAGAAATCCTCACCAGGTGAGTCAAAGCGATACGCTCTGTATATGTAAACAATGAATCTTAGATTTTTTCCAATATATGTGGTAGCTGAATACTTGAAATAACACATGGATGAAATATGCATATAGGTAAATGGTTTTGTAGAAGACATAGTTGGGCAAAAAGCTGCAACGGTATTTGGTAAATGGGATGATAGCCTTTACTATGTCGCCGGTGATGGAATTAGCAAGACGAAAGTTAGTGATCCCGCATCAAATGCCTCGTTATTGTGGAAAAGTACCAAACCACCGCCTAATGTCACTAGATACAACTTAACTTCATTTGCGATTACTCTGAACGAGCTAACACCTGGTTTGCAGGTATGTTCAGGACTTCAGATGCATTAATCTTCGTTTTACTATGTACATGGATTCCTGTTTCATCTAACTATGCCTAATCTGATCTTGTGTTAATTTTGATTACGGATTTAGGAGATACTTCCTCCCACAGACTCTAGGCTCAGACCAGATCAACGGCATCTCGAGAATGGTGAATATGAGAAGGCGAACTTAGAAAAACAACGGTTAGAAAGAAGACAAAGAATAGTATGTCACTCGAACATTACACTTGCAATTGTCATTTGATTGCCCTGAATGGATTAATTTTCCGAGAACACGATAACTAAAAAATAGAATGAGCTTCTGTGTGGAATTTTGCATGATTTGATCTCTGGCAGAATCTATTTTTGTGGTTTCATAATACGAGCTCGTTAGGCCGATGTTCTTCCTTGAAGTACCATTGGTAGTTTGTTACATATGGTGAAGACATGTTTTACGAACTGTAATTGCTCCATTGCAGTCGCGGAAACTTCAGGAAAGCGGGTGGAGACCGAGGTGGTTCGATAGACAAGGAGATAGTGAAACCTTCAAATACGCGGGGGGTTACTGGGAAGCACGAGGACAGAGGAATTGGGATGATTGCCCCGACATCTTTGGGGAGTTCACAGAAGAGCTAGCAGATTCTGCTTAAAAAGCTTCTTGATTTCATTTCAGGTAATATACTCATCCCGCCAGATCGTGTACAAGCTCAACATTTTCCCTTAAATGTTTAAACAGAAAACCCGAACAACCAAATCCTATTTTGTCATTTCAAATCAAAAATGTCGATTATAGATTAATAATAACCTCAAGAAATTTAAGATTCGGTCTGGAGATGATTCCTTATTTTGCATTGAATCTGGTTAAGAGAAGATTTTCATCTTTGGTTTTCAGGCAGCAAACGTCTCTCGAAATGGATCAAGAAGCTGTATTTCTTTCAGGTTTCAGTTTTCTGCTCTTGGAAGAGGATATAGAACAAGATCATAAAGCCTTTGGTTATATTTTTGTAACCATGTTGTAATCTTAATCTCCTCCTCCTTTTGAGTATTAAAGTGTCAATGTAAAGTCTTTATCTTCTTCTCTCTTTCATTATGTATCTTTCTTCGTTAATAGTTGAGGTTAATGTAGTTTGGTCAATGTTCATTGTGGTCCCATTTGTATTTAATTATAATGTGATGAGGAATAAATAAATTCAGGCAAAGACTCTTTCCTTTCAGTCCAGCTTCACAAATGATCTTGAAATATATGTTAGTAGGACCAGTTTTGAGATTTATGAGACCACAAATATTTTATTTGTATAAACCATTTTTTTTGTTTTAACTTCTCTTTTGATGGTTTATTTCTCTAAAATTTTGGAGCAAAGTCAATGTTTCAGCAAACTTTGTATAGGGCCAATCCAAACATCTTTATGATTGACAGGCTGGCCAAAGAAAAAGAAATATCAATACATTGTGACTTGTGAGTCTTATAAAGAGTTTTTTCTTAAGAAAAGAGAGAATGTGGAAGGTCCTTGGTTATAATGTACCAACGACGAAATATATGTGTAAATGTTAGTAATTAAAAAAAAGTGAGAATCCATATTTAAGAAGCACATAAAGTGATTCTCGGTATGTGAGGTGAGACTCTAGTTGATTGTTGTAATTTCTAAATAGCGATCCCACCAAGATGTATAGTAGCCATTCTGGTTAGCCGAACTTGTTAATTGGTATTCCGCGAGCATTAGATCATTCATTAAAACACCAACGTACCCGAATAAAACGATTCGGCCTCAACCAAACTTCTTAGACATCAATTCAATGAACATTACCTAAACCAAACTAAACTAGAAAACACCATGACATGTGTTATGTCCTAAGTTAAATATCCTAGACTGAAACAAATTTTTGGTTTCTAAAAATATAATATCTCAAATTGGAACACGAACTATACTCAAAACTACCAGGACATGTGTCCACTTCTTAACCACATTATTAACCAGACCGAACCATGGTATTCATGAGCTGATCCCGGTTAAGAAGATTTGGAAGGATCAAAGACTTGACCAACGAACAAAACGGTTCCGGTTATGTCTTCTCTAATCAAAAAGAGAAATGGATGGTCAGCCACAAAATCTATCTTCTCTCGACAGCATGTCAATGTAAAAGCGGCACCTGCAGCAGCTTCAGTGCCTTCTTCATCGATTTCGACAAAAGCTTTATGGTACAAAACACCTTCATCCAATTCCAATCCCACTGTATTGAAATCCCTCGAAGCCTGAAACCCAAAAGAGATCTTAAACTTTGGGATTTTATATTTACCAACTTCCTATTGGTAACTTGGAATGTAATTATCTACGAATCCAGGAGTAGATGTCATTTTCTTCACGAGATCATCCAATCCATTTTTTTGGTCAGGCAGATAGAAATCCATTGAGAATTCGCGATTGGTATCGCCATGGCCTTGTCGGTATGGTAGTCTAAGGACCTTGAAACCATTGTAAGCCGCAACGTATTGGTCTTCACGGTTGGTCATAAATGGTACGGAGACTGACAAGCCATTAAGAAGGTTAAAGTCTTTGACTTTTGTATACGACTTATTGAATTTGTTTTCCCAAGCTCCTTTGAAGTACAATGCGTTTCCATAAACCTGATTCGTTTTGCTTGTAACGGATCCATGAGGAAGAAGGTCTTTGATGAGACCATTGGTTTTTTCTGAAGCCCATTGATTCAGCTCTATACGCACTTGTTCAGCCTTCAAAACAATAAAACATGTTAGTGAATTTCAGTTTATTGCATAGGTTCCACATTGAATTTCTCGAAACATGAATCATTTTATATAAATTGCTTCTTAAAACACTTTCTATATAAGAAATTTATAATAAATCTCTAAACCCTACAAAAAGTCTTAAAACATTCTACGAATATTAAATAAAAAACAATTGATGTACTTGTTCTATATAATTTCGTTTTCTTGATTAACTAATTTTTTCTTTTCGTTTCTTGATTGAATGATCATGGAAACTTTCAAAAATATATTTACAATTTGAGCAAAAAAAAAAATATATTTACAAGTTTTTCAACTATCTCAATAAATTAGTAATATTGAGGAACATGGAAATGTTACCTTTGGATATGAAATCAAATTGAGCGTAAGCAGCCTTGAAGACATTCACAAAGAGATCCTTCAACGTATGATTAACCGGGAGAGATTGCTCGACCCAAACGCCGTTAATAGCCCTGATCATGGGGCCACCGCAAAAACGGTGGTAGCGATCTCGCTGTAGACGGAATTACGATCATCAGAACCGGAGCCAGAGCCGGCAGCCTTCATTGTGAGAACGGCATTTATTGATGCCGGAGAGAAGATGAAGTTAGAGTTTCTTGCTTTGGAAGCAATTACTTCACGCATAAGGACCAAATCGGCGTCGTTTTGCTTATTCATTGCGATTACTTGTGATTTGCTGAGTTCTTGAGTTTTTTTTTTATACATTCCCTTGGAAAAGGGGTTTGCTGATGTGCTAAGTTTTTGCATCTTCGTTAGATTCATCTTTGAAAGAAAGGAACCTCCAATTGCGAATCGTCCCCCTATCATCTTCTAAGTTTTCTATGTATAATTTTCTGAGCATGTACTCACATAAAACTATATATAGAGAAGATATAAGATACCTAGTTTCTAATCAATGAAGATATATAGAACTAGGGTTGTTGAAAAAAATAATATGTATACAAACTAGGGTTTTGTGAATCGTCAAACCTATCATTTCTAAGTTAACAAGCGAAACAGCGTGCCGTTTTGGTCCAAGTGACGATAGGGAACATCTGGTTTGCCATTAAATGTTTTAAGAAGCCAATACAAAATGTAAACAAAGGGTTTGCCAAGGGTTTTTAGAAAATCAACATTAGTAATGCATCCAAGAGTTTTTAGTATTTAGGGAAAAAGGTATACATGTTTATTAGACTTGCAAAACTTGTAATAAAATTGTTGGCGAAAACAATAAGCAAAAATTATTTATTAATAAAAATAAATGACGCGCCAAAAATTACCAATTAGCAAAAGTAATTAACGCGCCAAAAATTAAAATTCTAATATATTGACTTTGACCTTATAAATTCATAAATTATTGCCTAAAATCATAGGATTCA